AGGTAATCTAGACTCCTTTTCTATGGCCAGTAAAGCCTTATATGATCTGGTCCTTGCCTGTCTCTCAGATCTCATCTAGAGCTAGTCTTCTCCTGGTGCATTAAACTTCAGCCTTCTTTATTCAACTCAAATATGGTGAGCTTTTTCTTGAATCAAGACATTTCCCCCCCTCGGTTTTACTTTTATTGTGCCAAGATACACATAAACAAAATTTGCCCTGTTAGCCATTTTTAAGTATGCAGTTCAATGGCATTAAATACATTTATAAAGTTGTGCAATTATCCCCATTATCCATCCCCCTCTTTTCATCTTGTAAGACTGAAACTCTGTGCCCATTAAGCACTAACTCTCCATTCTCTGCTACTTCAGCCCCTGGTAACCACTGTTCTACTGTCTATCTCTATGATTTTGGTAACTCTGAGTATTTCATATAAGCAGGATCATACATTAGTTGTCTTTTTTGTGACTGACTTCATTTAGCGTAATGTACTCAAGCTTCAGCCATGTTGTAGCATATTGCAGAACTGCCTTCCCTTTTAAGGCTGTATAAAATTCAATTGTATGTTTCTACCACATTTTACTTACTCATTTGTCTGTCAGATGACATTTGGGTTGCTTCCACTTTTTTAGCCATTGTTGATGTTGCTGCTATGAACATGGGTGTACACTCATCACGAGGTGAAACTTGTTCAAAAATACCTCTTTGAGACCCTGCATTTAGTTCTTTTGAGTATTTACCCAAAAGTGAAATTGCTGGGTCATAAGGTAATTTTATGTTTAACTTTTAAAGGAATCTTTATACTGTTTTCCACACCATTTTACATTCCCATTAGCTATATACAAAGGTTCCAATTTCTCTGCTACTTCGCCAACATTTGTTCTTTTCTGTCTTTTGATAATAGCCATCATAATGGGTGTGAAGTGGTATCTCATTATGTTTTTGATTCACATTTCTCTTATGATTAGTGATGTTGAGGATCTTTCCACTTGCCTCTTGGCCATTTGTATATCTTTGGAGAAATATCTATACAAGTCCTTTACCCATTTTTGAATTTGATTTTTTTTATTGTTAAGTTTTAGGAGTTCTGTATGTTATATTCTGTATGTTAATGTCTTACCAGATATGTAATTTGTAAATATTTTCTCCCATTCTGTGGGTTGTCTTTTTACTCTGTTGATACTGTCTTTGGATGCACATTGTTTTTTTTTTTTTTTTAATTTTCATGAAGTCCAATTTGCCTGTTTTATTCTTGTGTGTTCTCTGCGCCTTTTTGGTTGTATCTGATAAACCATTGCCAAATCTGGTATTCTGAGGTTTTTGCCCTGTTTTATTTTTTCCCAAGAGTAGCATAGTTTTAGGTCTTATGTTTAGGTCTTTGATCCATTTTCAATTAATTTTTGTGTATGGTGCTAGGTAAGGGTTCACCTTATTCTTTAGCACACGGGTATCCAGTTGTGCCAGTACTGTTTGTTGAAAATACTATTCATTTCCTGTTGAATGTTCTTGACACTCTTGTTGAAAATAATTTGATTATGTATACAAGGGTTATTTCTGGGTTTTCTACTCTGTTCCATCCATCTGTCTGTCTGTGTTTATGCCAGTGCCACATTGTTTTGATTACAATAGCTTTGTAATAAGTTTTGAAATCAGGAACTATGAGACTTACAGCTTTGTTCTTCTATTTTCAGTATTGTTTTGGCTATTTGGGGCCCCTTGAGATTTCATACAAATTTTAGGATAAGTTTTTCTATTTCTGCAATAAACATCACTGGGATTTTGGTAGGGATTGTGTTGAATCTGTAGGTTGCTTTGGGTAGCATGGGCATCTTAAAAACATTAAATTTTCTTATCTATGAAGTTATGATAGGTTTTTATTTATTAATGTCTTAAATTTGTTTTTTCAGCAGTGTTTTGTAGTTTTCATTGTACAGATATTTCACCTTGTTGGTGAAATTAATTCCTAAGTATTTTATTCTTTAAAATAAAGAAATTCTATTTCTATTGTAAACAGATTTTTTTTTTTGTAATTTCCTTTTCAGATTGCTCATTGGTAATATATAAAAATATAACTGATTTTCATGGGTTGAATTTTTGTATACTGCTGCCTTGTTGAATTTATTTATTACTTCTAATAGGTTTTTTTGTGGAAGCTTTAGAATTTTCTACATGTATGATCATATCATCTGTGAACAGAGATAGTTTTACTTATTTTTTTCCAGTTTGGATGGCTTTATTTGGTTTTCTTGCCTAATTGCTCTGGCTAGAACCTCCAGTACTATGTGGAACAGAAGTATTAGGTTGGTGCAAAAGTAACCACGGTTTTTGCCATTACTTTTGCACCAACCTAATAGCATCCTTGCATTGTTCCTGATCTTTGAGGAAAAGCTTTCAGTCTTACAGCTTTGAGTATGACGTTTACTTTGGGTTTTTTATATATGGCTTTTACTATGGTGAGATAGTTTCCTTCTATTCATATTAGTTGTGTGTTTTATGAAAAGTTAAATTTAGTCAAATGCTTTTTCTGTTTTCATTTGAAATGATCATGTGTTTTCGTCTCCATTCTGTTAAGGTGGTGTATTACATTGTTTGAGTTTGTATGTTGAATCATTCTTGCATTCCAGGAATACTTTCCAGTTGGTCATGGTGTATAACCTTTTAAGAGCCTGTTGAAGTGGGTGTGCTGTATTTTGTTGAGGATTTTTCTATCAATGTTCATCAGGGATATTAGTCTGTAGTTGTTTTGTAGTGACTTTGTCTGGCTTTGATATCAGAATAATGCCTCTTAAAATGAGATTGGAAGTGTTCTCTCTTATTCAGTGTTTTAGAAAATTTGAGAAGTTGAATCAAGATATTTTAATCTTTTTTTTTTCCCCCTTTTTGTGGAATGTGTGTTCCCAGATAGCCATTCACATGACTGGCCCCCTTATATCATTTAGACTTTAGTAAAATGTCTTTTGGGCCTTTTTGAATATCAGTCTAAAGTAGCTTCTCAGTCATTCTCTATCAGTAGCTCTCTATTATTGTCCTCATAGCAATTTTCACAGACATTTTCCTGTGTTATCCTGTTTTCTATCAAATTATCCCATTGCTTATAGATAGAATATAAGCTTGAGAGCAGTCTCTATCATTTAGAGTTTTTATGGTTAGTTCTATTACGTAGGCATGATTGATTAAGTCTTTGGACATTTGTGCTTAACTAAATCTCTACCCCTTCTCTCCCTGCAGCCCTCCCGTAAGTCAGAGGTTGGGCTGAAATTTCCAAACTTCTAATCACTTGGTTGGTTTTTTTGGCAACCAGCTCCCATCCTGAAGCTAAGTAGGCTCCCACCACGAGTCACCTGATCAGTATAAATTCTGGTATGGTTGAAAGGAGCTTATTATGAATGACAAAAGACATCCCCTCTCACTCTTGTGAGAGGGGTGAGAAAACAAAGATAAAATATCTTGATTCAACTTCTCACTCACTCAGTCAATTCATAGGGTCTTAGGAGATTTTGTGCCAAGAACCTACAAAGACCAAATATTTCTTATGATTTCATAATGTCACACTACCTTACAAGATTGTTTTAAGAATAAATGAGAGAATGCATGCAAAACTCTTAGCACATTGCCTGGTACAGATAGCAGTGGCTCTACTGCTATAGCTGTTAAGATTTTCTTCCCCCATCCGTCTCTTCCTTGGCATTCTGTGCTCTCCCCTTTTTCCTTCCTCTCATAACCTTTGCTTGTGTTTCCATTTTCCTAATCTTTCTCTGACATTTTTTTCTTCTGAGTTCTCAATATTAGGTCAGAAGTCCAGGACTTGGAAGGGTTAGGAGTGGCATTGTTGTAGGAGCTTCTCGCAGAAGATTCATTTCAAGCCCCCCTCCCTCATTTACTTTCCTTTAGCTGTTGGTTTCATTTTCATCAAGAATCTGAAATATCTCAGGGGAAGTATCTGAATTTACTTTTTCAGAACAGATATTAGCTGTGATAGTGCCCCCCCTCCCCCCAGTGTTAGAAGATGTGGGAAATAGTGATTCCTTGTATCAGGCTGATTCTTGAGATATGTCCTTTGCTTTAGGAATACTGATGACACTGATAATCTTTTTTTTTTTTTCTTTTTTTTTTTGAGATGAAGTCTCACTGTGTCGCCCAGGCTGGCATGCAATGATGTGATCTCAGGTCACTGCAACCTCTGCCTTGAACTTGAGCCTGGGAGGGTTCAAGTGACTCTCCTACCTCAGCCTCTTGAGTAGCTGGGATTACAGGTGCATGCCATCACGCCTGGCTAATTTTTGTATTTTTAGTAGAGACAAGGTTTCACCATGTGGGCCAGGCTGGTTTCGAACTCTTGACCTCAAGTGATCTGCTCGCCTCGGCCTCCCGAAGTGTTGGGATTACAACTGTGAGCCACCACGCCCTGCTGATACTGATAATCTTAAAGAGAGAAATTTAATGATCCTTTCATTAGTAAAATGTGTAATAAGAGTAACAAAGCGTATTGTGGGAAGAAGAGGTTCTCTATTATTTACCCCTTTAGCATTTTCCTGGAGGTTTAGTGGTCATTAGAAAGAAGTACTTGTGGCTAGGCATGGTGGCTCACACCTATAATCCCAGCACTTTGGGAGGCTGAGGAAGGAGAATTGTTTGAATTGAGAATTGTTCTCCTCCTCCTGAGGAGGAGAATTGTTTGAAGCAAGGAGTTCAAGACTAGCCCAGGCAACAGAGCGAGACCCCCCCATCTCTACAAAAGTAAAAATAAGTTAACCTGTTGGGGTGGCATGTGCCTATAGTTCTAGCTACTCGGGAAGCTGAGGTGGGAGCATGACTTGAGCCCAGGAATTTGAGGCTGCAGTGAGCTATCACCACACCACTGCACTGTAGCCTGGGCAACAGACTGGGGTCTCTTAAAAAAGCACACACACACACAGAAAGACATACTTGTTACTAGTGCTCTTTTGTAAGAGTTTATCTAACATGGCATTTTAATTATGGTTTAAAAAATATTTCTTTCCAGTTAACAGAAGATGAAATTGCAACCATTCTTAAATCTACATTGAAAGGACTAGAATATTTGCATTTTATGAGAAAAATACACAGAGATATAAAAGCTGGAAATATTCTCCTCAATACAGAAGGACATGCAAAATTGGCAGATTTTGGAGTGGCTGGTCAGTTAACAGTAAGTTAACTTTAATAATTTTCTAAACACTTGGCTAATTTGTTCAGATTTTATTATAACTAAACTTCCATAACTTTTTGAGGGGGAATGGAAAGAAATGTGTAACTTTAATTTTTGTGGAGAAAGAACCATAATTGAGCCAAATTTGAGTATTATTTAATTTATCATTTAGGGTGATTGAATATGAAAATATATCTTGTAATCGAAATGCTTAAATGTTCTAAAAGGGAAGCTACGTAGCTCATTTCTGTAGCTTTTATTGAATATGAAAATATATCTTGTAATCGAAATGCTTAAATGTTCTGAAAGGGAAGCTACGTAGCTCATTTCTGTAGCTTTTATCATTATAGCACTATCTTTAATGACTGTGTTTAATGACGGTAGTGGGGATAAGTTACCTGTGGACTCTTGGTTATTTTCAGAATTCAAAATTCCTAAGTATGTCATAACTAGTTGAAATTTTAGCAAAATAGTCAATTTCTGATATAATCTGTGGCATTGGAGGTTTCAACATTTTTTAAAAGAATGTTTGGCATACAGATTTCCTTTGTGCTTTTGTAGTAGTATTTATGGCTATGTAACGTTATTGCAGGATACAATGGCAAAACGCAATACTGTAATAGGAACTCCATTTTGGATGGCTCCTGAGGTGATTCAAGAAATAGGCTATAACTGTGTGGCCGACATCTGGTCCCTCGGCATTACTTCCATAGAAATGGCTGAAGGAAAACCTCCTTATGCTGATATACATCCAATGAGGGTAAGAAAATTATGGTTTGCTGAAAATGTTAGCCTTATATAAGTGTTGCAGTTTTGTAATGTCAGTGTAAGTAAATATAAACTAAATAAGTTCATTTAAATGTATTCTTTTTAAAAATGGTAAAATTACCTCTTAAAGATTGGTAACTCTTAACTTCTCTTCCGTGTTCTTAATTGTGAGAAAAGAACTGAAGGCTTTGTATATCTCTACCATCACTGTTCTCCTCCCCCAAAAATATACCCGTAAAATTTTTGCTTGCTTTTCAATAGAAGAAAGGGTTGGTAAATCCTCTTTGCTCTTCAGTTTATTGTTTTCTCGATTGTGGTAGTGGAAGAGTTTGAAGTAATCATTTCTCACTTTTTTACCCACTCTGTAATTTATACCTTACTGTGTTTTTTTTTTTTTTTCTGCCCTTTCTCTTCTTTGGTCTGAGGATGGTATTAAGCAATCCTAATTTCTAATATTACTATGCACATGTAAAGGAATTCGGCTAATTTTTTTAAATGAATGCTTATTGAGAAGATGGAATTCCTTTTTTGAACATCGTTATATGCTTCTGTGACCTGTGCAGGATAATTTTTGGAGTTTGAAATATATATCTTGCATATTCAAATCTAATTGCCTATGTTTCAGGGTTTGTGATGATATACTTTTTAGGTTTATTACTATGTGAATCATATAGATAAGTTCATCATCATAGATAAGTACATTTATCTTTGTATACTTATTGCCCTCTAGTGGCTGTAGTTATCTCAATAAGGATGTAGGAATGAGGGGAAGAGTGTATGTATGTGTGTATTTGTAGAAAAGAGAAGATAATGTCATGGTGGCTGGAGGAATGTGAAGTAAATAGATAGGAAGAGGAAGAATGCATTATTTTAGAATATCTGAAGAAGAATAAATTAGAATTACATCTGATATTATAATGCTATTGTGGCTTCAATTTCGATAATATAGGTAACAGTATATTATACAGAAAATATTTGAAAATCTGTCTGCTGTATTGAAACATTTTAAAGAGAGACTATTATTATTATTTTTCTTTTGAGACAGGGTCTCACTCTGTCACCCAGCCTGGAGTGTAGTAGTGCTACCATAGCTCACTCGAGCCTTGACCTCCTGGGCTCAGGTGATCTTCCCACCTCAGCCTGCAGAGTAGCTGGGGCTATAGGTATGCACCACCATGACCAACTAATTTTTTGTAGAGACAGGGTGTCGCCATGTTGCCCAGGCTGGTCTCCAACTCCTGGGCTCAAGCGATCCACCCACCTCGGCTTCCCAAAGTGCTGGGATAACAGGAGTGTGCTCAACCTAGAATTCTTTGAGTAATATACAATAGTATATTAAGTAGTATACTTATTGTATATAAGTATATATAAGTAGTATGCAATATGTACCATCTTCCTCTTCCTTGTGTATATAAATTCCTTTTGGTAAATGAAAAATAAAAATAGCATCAATTGTTTGAAAATAACATGAAAAATAACAAGGTCAGCATAAAAACAGGAACACAAAGTCTGTATTTCATCTCTGATCATTAGTTATCTGTGGTTGTTTTAGTTAGGATGTTTGTAGGGTGATCCTCAAAGTAGGCGTATTTGAGTTTGAATCAGTGAGTTTTACTAAATTACCCAAGGCAACCTAGGTAATTATGAGAGCTGGGATTTAACCTAGGACTTCCATTATTACTATTCTGCTTCTTCCCTGTGTAAATCTTATTTTTCCAACCAAATAGTTCAACTTGTTAAATTTGATCCTGTGCTCAGATAGCAGAGAATTGTAATATGTGGCCTCTCCCTTTAAGGATCTTGTAATATTACCTGAGAGTTTGAATGAATACATTATACATTATTAAAAATATACCTGAAAATAGTATTTCTCTTAGAAAAAAAATATGTATATATATATATTGCAAACTTCCTGGGATGTCTTGCTCACTTTTTTTTTTTTTAAATCTAAATCCTACCAATTTTTCAAGTCCCAACTTGGATTTTATGCCTGTATAGAGCCATTCTTGACAGCTATTGCCCAAGTAAATTTCTCTTTTTCCTCATATTTTGTATATAGGCAATTTCTTGACAGTCCAGTTCTTTAGACAGTTAATCAAGTGTTGTCTTGTGCATTCCCAAACGTAATATAGTTTATTTTCTATTTAAATGATATCATTATTTAACTTTTCTTGTGTTTGTGAGCTGTCTTACAAATTAGAGTATTGAACTGCAAGTATTGGAAGCTGTTAAGATCATGTAACAGATACAGTTTTATCACTGGTAACAAACACTACCTTTTGTTTTCCTTGAAATGACAGGTTCACTTGGTTCATTTTTGAGAAAATGTCTGTCAAATACCCAAGTCTGTGTAACCTTAGTTTTCTGTTAGTTATTCTTCAAGTAAAAATGATGTTCTTTGAAAAGAGCCTTGTAGTTTATTTAGCTTGCAGCTCAGTCACACAACTGCTTTTTTTCAGATTATTGTTGTTCTTTGATATGTGGGGAAGTGCTTTATGCATATTTTCCATTTTGTCAATGTAGAATATTAAAAAAATACATATTCAAGTGTAGAAATTAAAAAAAATTAATAACCCTTACTGTTTCATCAAGGTTTACAGTAATTTGGTCAGGGGTATAGTGAGGGAAATGAAAGAAAGAGCTGTCCAATAGAGAAAAAAAATTGTTGAGGGCTCAGCTAAAATTGGTAATTGAGAAATTATAGTGTAATTAATCCTGGTTTGTGGGCCTTCCTGTGGTATGTGCTCTGCTGTGCAGTAGAGTGCATTATGGCTTTGATATGGAGGGTTTGGGTTTTAATGAATGAGTGTCTTGGAGGGATGGGGCTTCAGGGAATTTAAGGATGCTGCTGAGAGACAATTCAGGAGTTACTAACAGGGCACAGTCTGGAAAGAAAAGAAAGAGTGTAAGAAAATGGGGTGATCGAAGAATAGATAGTGTTCTCCATGCTTGCTGCATAGCAGTCATCTGGGGAGCCCTACCCTAAACAGATTAAATCCGAAATCTCAGGAGGTTAGAGAGGAGATAAAGTGGTAGTTAAGATATGAGAAAGCTGGGAGGATATGAGACTATGGTAAGTGAGTGAAATACTGAAGTTTTCTTTTTTAGCCAACCTTTTTTTGTACTGTAGTAACTTTGTGAAATAAATATTTTATCCTCCATTGGGTGGATTGGATGAAATGGATAAGATTATGTTATTTGTTAAGATGACATAACTTGTTAGTGGCAGAGCTGAGATATGAACTCAGTTTTATGGGTGTTTTTGCCTAGACACCAAAGAAATATCCTCTGCATTAATATTCCAACTCTGTACAAGTGGAGGAGCAGCTAACAAAAATAAGACAAGTTTTCTAGAGTAGCAGGAAATATGGACAGATTTCAATTTTTAATGTTTTGTTTTCCAGCCATTTTTTGGTAGCCATATAGGCTAATGATGTAATCAATAATCTATAAAGTTGCCACAGTGAGACAAAGATATGATTGACACGAAGACCCCACAACTGATACAGGCAAAAAAACTGATAGTTATTTTAATGTAAGTAAATGATACAATTTACTACATATAAATGACTATCTAGAATAAAGTTAGAGACAAAGTTAGGATATGGTGGGTGAGTTTCCCCAGCCTCCATATACAGCGGGGTACCCAGCCACTGGTGATATTGTCTGATTGGAGTGAGGATTCTATCCAGTCTTTCTGAAATGCCTTGCAGTCATCCTCAGAGTTCTAGCCCTTTCCACTATGCTTGCCCACTAGATGTATATAATTAGGAACACTCCAGAACAGTGGTGCTGCCTTCTAGACTGAGTGAACTGGGATTTGGTTTCCCAGTCATTTTCTCAGCCTTTTACCGTGTTTAGGCACCAGGCCTGTTCGTAAAGTAGTCTTGCTTAGGACAGCAAAAATTAGGGGCAAAAAGAGATGCTTCGAGCTTGGATAGTTTAGAATGGAGTTGCTTCTCCTTAAGTGGCCACAAATTATTGCTGTGTTTTTCACTGATTAAGGTTTTTGTAGGACATATATTTAGGGTGTCATAGCCTGAGGGATATGGAGAACTTAAAGATGGCACTGAATTAGAAAATGAAAGTGATTAAATTGGAAATTTGCAGTTATTTGAGAATAGGTCCTTCAAAGGTGTTAAGTCTGAGGTCATTTGTTTTATATACTTTAGTTTATCAGTTTGTCAAATATTGATATTTCTTTTATCATTCTTGGGCAGAATAAGGAATATTTGGAATATAGATGTTCAAGGAGAAATTTTCTATTAAAAAGAGCTATTAAAAACACTGGATTTGTTTGATGGCAAGGAGTCAACCGAATTTGTTAGTTTTGGTACAACCTTTTTTTCCCCCCAAAGAAACTTGTAGTATATGTAAACTGAATCTTCACTGTAGTAGATAGTAAGGATTATCTATTTAGTAAAGAGAAATAATGATGTACACATTGAAACGCATAAAGCTTTTTAAACAGGAGAGGGATAGAAGTGCTTACAAATTTACATTCAGCTATGAGATTAAAATTAGCGAATAGTGGCAAATGGGAGTAAGCCTAATCAGAACGTTAAGTGAAACAAATTTTTTAAAAATTAAAACTCAGTTTATTTTATAAAGTTAAATATGAAACCACCAAATTAATTTTGGTCAGTTAGATAAATAGAATAGTTAAATTTAGTTTTGAATTCAGTTAACCACATAGTTTTGAGGAGATCAATCTTCTGTCTTTCTCAGGCCTGTTGGAAGTGAGTGTGAGAGTGTGTGTGTGTGTGTGTGTGTGTGTGTGTATATATATATATATATATTTTTTTTTTTTTTTTTTTTTTTTGAGACAAAGTCTCACGCTGTTACCTGGGCTGCAGTACAGTGGCAGTCTTGGCTCGCTGCAACCTCTGCCTCCTGGTTTCAAGCGATTCTCCTGTCTCAGCTCAGCCTCCTGAGTAGCTGGGATTACAGGTGCACGCCACCATGCCCAGCTAATTTTTTGTAATTTTAGTA